GCTGAACCCAACTCAATTACATACTTCAAAGTCTCTTTAGATCTGCTGTGAAATTTAGATCCCTGCTTTTCAGCATATTTTTTGAATAGGGGGCTGAAATAGCCTAACAATAATTATTGCATATGACATATGTGTCTCTGAGATTAATACAGACTAGAATTTATCTGCTATGAGTCACTATGGCTAGTCATAAAAACATCAGGGCGCCTCATACAACTGACATTCACAGTCAATATATAAGAATAATAATATTTCACAGATAAAAATCTTCCAAAAATATGTGAGCAAAAAAGCTAAGGTTGCTCAAATGTATTCCTATCAATGCAGTTGCAAGGGGCCATGCTTCTGAAGGGGTTAGCTATTTTACAGAGAGCAGAGTAAGGAGCATGTAGGGCGCTTATCAAAGGGAAATGAAACCTGCTGGTAACAGGTATAATGGCATTTATAGGTTGACATACTGTCTATGAACCTTCCCTCAGTCAAGCTGCGAGAGAGATGGCCTAAAGCTACCTATGCTGGCCTCCCTGCCGTCCAATCATTTCTCCATTCCTGGGGGAAATTCTAACTGGTTTATTCTCCAGCTTTCCAGCCCCGCAGCTCTGTCTGGGGTACCAAAAAAAGGTCTACCGTACTTTCATGCATATATCCCGCAGGGTATACACGATTTTACAAAAAAAAAAATGGATGGGTGTGGGCTATCGATGGACTTTTTTCCACGGGGGCTGGGGCCGGGGCCAGGGAGGGCTGTGCCGCTTCCCTGCTGGGCCCAGGCAGGCCCGGCTGTGCCGCTGCTGCTGCGGGGGCCGGGCCCAGGGTGGGCCGGGCTGCGCCACCTCCCCGTGTATACGCCACCGCAGGGAATACATGGATGCAGTGTATACATAGGCTAATTTACAAACATACAATTTTCCGTGGGTTATACATGGTTGCGGCTTGTACCCATGAGTGGGCTATATGCATGAAAATACAGTAATCCTGAGGTGGGCAAAATATGACCTACAGGCCGGATCTGGCCCACCAAAGGATTTTATCTGGTCTGCAGTGGGTCCCTTGGCCCCACCTGGCCCAGGCCCAGCTGGGCCGTGGTGCATGTGGCCAGTCCCGCTGCTCCCAGGCGGTCAGCAGGGCTGGGGCAGCATGGTAGCTGGGCTCTGCTTCCCAGCCACCCTGGTTACAGCAGCTGCTTTTGGCTGCCAGTGCCAGTGTTGCTGCTACCACTGGACCCAGTCCCACTGCCCAGGCACCCCAGCCTGTCCGCCCTCTGTCCAGCACTGGGGGCAGGTGGGCAGGGTCTTTATGGAGACTGACCCAGAACCCTTGTGGGCAGGGTGTGCTTGGCTGCACGGATGGGATAGGGCCACAAGCAGACAGGGAGTGGCATCTGGGAGCAAGACAGGCAGGGCTGGGATCATGGGGTGGTGACAGTGCTGGGCCAGGGCCCTGGGGCAGAGCCGCGATCTGCTGCCCGCATGTCCCTGCGATGGGTGTTGGTTCTGTGTGCAGGGGTGTGCTGGGAGACAACTGCAGCTCTGCCCTAAGCCCTGCGATCCTGGCCCCGGCCCCAGCTCCCACCCACCTCCTCTGCTCCCAGAGACTTTTCCCTGGCTGATTGTGGCCCCATCTCATCCACCCAGCCAAGTGTGCCCTGCTTGTGGGGTCCCAGGCCATGAGACTGAGGCTGGGATCACCAGCTGGTGACAGCATGGGGCCAGGGCCTGGGACAGCGCCACTGAGGGAGTTTTGGTGAGCTGTTGTGGGCTGGGCAGTGTGTGGAGGGTGCTGACCTGGCCTGCAACAGTTCACTCAAAGTCCCTAATTGGCCTTCCAGCCCAAATAATTGCCCACCCCTGGTCTAATCACTTTCTTCAAGGATGGGTGAGGGGGCAGAGGTATGAGCCAGGAAGACAACATGGTGAAGTAGCTGACCTGGCGGTCAAGTTCCCCTCTATATCTAGAGGTCCTTGTTCACCACATTGACCATTCTTGCCCCATTGAATTTCCTTACCTCAGGGGCAGATTGGGAAGGTGGAAAGACCATATGCAAAGCACCTTGCTTCTGACATCAGAAGAGAAACCCATACAAGCCTGTCTCCTATGAAGTAGGTCTGTGATTCAGGGGGCGAAATCCCCTGTGCAGAGCCTTAGCTCTAACAATGGCATATGATAAGCATTAAGTTGTAGGAAGTCATTATGAATACAGCCATGTGAAAAGTTCACAAATAGACCTTCAGAACCAGATGTAGTCTGTGGAATTCCAGTGCGTCAGAGCAGACTTGATTAACCGAGTCTGAAGCGTGGCAATTGTGCACTCCAGCAGCCTCCTGCGTCTTGTGTATCGGCATCCCCATACTTATGAATGGTGATGGGAGATGCTTGAACGAAAGTTCATCAAACGAGCTTTAGTTCAGGCACCTCTACTGCCATTTTTAAGTGCAGGGATGCTGATACAGGAGCTGCAGGAGGCTGCTGGAGTTGCTCTAATTAAAGTGCCACCCCCCCACCCCCAGAGCATGTGTAAAAGTGCTGATCAGGATAGTGCCTGGTGCTGTGGAAATGTGTGAGGCGAAGGAAAATGAACCAATTTGGAACATTTTTATTTTCCCTCCAGTTCAGGCAAAAAGTCCGGATTGCAAGGGCTCTTAGGCCACATCCCTATGAGCAGGGGCGTGCGGAAAAAAAGCAGCAGCACAAATTTCTGGCCTTGGTTTTTGCCCTGGTGCCCTACATGTGGGGTTAGTGCAGGGAAAGGTGCTCCACGTGGTCCTTATCCAGGGTTCAGGGCTGCAGTGGCAGCAGTCGGAGCACAGAGCCTGGCTGCCAGCTGGAGTGCAACTCTGGCCGGCCAGGCTCTAGCTTTGGGTGGCACATGCTGCGGCCACGTATAGTGCCCCCCCTTTATTTGATACCAGGATTTCCTAGCATCTTAAACCTGGCTCCATCCAGCAAATAGGCAGCGCATTGAACCAAATCACGTGTGCAGGGTGCATCCAAAGCCTTCCAGACACCGCAAAACACACCGGTGCGCTCGACCCCAGGGTGCAGCCCTGGGACTTGGGGCTGTCCCAGGAAATGTGAGGGGGCCCACGGCAACGCGTAGAGGCAGACAAGGTCCTTTGGGGAAACACGGTATTTTTTATTAGGCCAACTTAAATAGTTGGAAACAATTCCTCTTTGCAAGCTTTCGGGCACAAACACCCTTCTTCGCGCACAGGGAGAGGCGGCCCCTCGGGATGTTGCATTGACACCATCCCCGACAAGGACGCAGGGCAGGAAAGCAACAAGCTGCACCCCAGGAGCCACCCCCTGAACGACGGCCCGGCGGTGGCGGAGCGGCCCCGAGGTCTCGTCCAGGGACCAGAGAAGGCCCTGGCGACAGCCCCACCTCCGCACACCCCGTTGTGCCAGGTCTTCTGAGCCCAGCGGGGACCCGTAGCCAGTCCGAACTTGTCCTCGCGGGCGAAGAAGGAACCTCGTTCTGATCCGGTAGTTCTCTGGTGTCTTCTCGCGAGGCTTCGGAGGGCAGCGGGACTATTCTTCCCCGCTCTTCGCCCCCGCAGCCTCCTGTCGCCACGACACCCTGCGGCGTCGCCACTCTGACGTCACATCGGCGCCTCGCGGGCTGTAAGCCCAAGCCAGGCTGGGCCAGGCGGCCCGGGCCCGGCGGGGGCGCTCGGTCGGCGGCGTTGCCTGGGGCTCGGGCCGGCTGCATGGACGACAGCAAGGTGAGCGGGGTCCGCGCCGACCCGGGCGCAGGCGGAAGAGCCAGTCTGCTCTGGCCGCAGACAGCCGTGAGCAGACACTGGTGCAGCGCCGCAGGCAGCTTCAAAGCCGGCGAGCGGGGGCACGGGGAGTGAGGCGCGCAGCTGTTATGCAAAAGATGCGCGAGATCATCCCCTCCCCAGAAATACACAGTAACTTTGTGGCTGGTTCCCATTGCGCCTTGAATGAAACGTGTGGCTGGGCTGAGGGGCAGAGCATGGGAGTGGAGGGCTGTGGTGCGCCCCGAGGCTGGGAGCTCTGGTTTGCAAGCAGCCTGCAGGCCTGGACTCCCATGCTTGCAACTTACTGGTGAAGTGGGAGCCTGGGATCGTGATCCTAGGCTCCCCCTGCGCCAACAATATAGCCAGGTTGGAATCTGATCCCTGTTGGTCTGGGGTAGCCGTGTAACTCGGACTGCTTTGTGAAAATCATTCTGACTTACAGCTGGGAGCCACACTTCTGTCCGCACCCCCAGATCCTTTTCCACAGTGCTGCCATCCAGTTGGCTGTCCCCCATTTTGAATGTGCATCTGATTATTCTTCCCAAGGCACAGCACTTTGTGTTATTGCTGTTGGATTTCAGCCTGTTCGCTCCAGCCCAGCTTTGCAACCATCAAAATCCTTCTGAATTGCTCTCTTGTCTTCCAGGGTGTTTGTGGTTTTCTCTTGTTTAGTGTCACCTGCAGATTTGCTCAAGAAGCTCTTTATTCCAGTATCTACATCATTAATAAACATGTTGAACAGCACTGGGCCTAGGACAAACCCCTGTGGGGCTCCACTTGAAACCTCCTGCCATTCTGACATGGGTCCATTAATAATTAATTACCTTTTGCTTGTGGATATTGAACCAGTTGTCTGCCTACCTTATGATAGTTTTGTCCAGCCCACATTTTTCCAATTTGTTTGTGAGAGGGTCATAAGACTTTGTGAAGGCTCCAAAGCTTTGCTGAAGTCTATATACACTATATTAATTTCATTCCCTTAATCCACCCAAGTAGTTACGTGGTCAAAGAAAGAAATCAACTTTGATGTGAATGACATGTGAAGAGAAGGCTGAGACGGGATTTAATAGCAGCTTTCAACTATCTGAAGGGCACTTTGAAAGAGGATGGAGTTGGACTGTTCTCAGTGGTGGCAGATGACAGAACAAGGAGCAATGACCTCAAGTTGCAGCAAGGGAAATTTAGGTCCTCTTTTTTGGCCTTGTTTAAAGAGAGGCACTATGTTGGCTCTTTACATCTGATAACTTGCTTGTCTCCCAAAACTTCTTAAATAATATTGCCAAGGGCTCCAGAATCTCCTCTGCCAGGTTGGCATTTGCTGTCACTGGTGCAGGATGCTGCAGGGCATACCCTGTCCAAGAAAAGCGGGTTTCTATGCAGTTCTCTGTGACTGTTTGAACCAAGGGTGGCCAGCCTGCAGCATGGGTGCCACAGTTGGCACAGGCAGTCTCTGTTTGTGGCATGCAGCAGATAGGACAGGGAACAGAAAGTGGAGCAGCAGATCAGGCAGGGGAATGGGATCAGAGTGGCACTTGGGGAGGGTGCAGGACTTAATTTGTGGAGTGCTTACCAAAAAGCTGGACTGCCACTGGCTTAAAACATTTTTACTAACTGTTGAAGATGGGGTAAAATGGCCACCAGATGTCCAAAACACAGACTCAGTGTGTCCCAAACCTTGTGTAGGTATGCAAAGTGTATGCATGCAACATATAACAGCCCAGGAATTACCAGGAGGGTTTAACATGTTTGATAAAAATTCTGTCTAGCCATCTTTTGTAAATGGCTTATGCTATGGATGTTAAAGAAAGGGTTTTGTTGTCTTTACCTTTAGGGTCTTCTGGTAGCTATGTGTGTGGGGGAAGCATGTACTTCTTTTCTGCAAGTATCAATATACCTGCAGTGTGCTGCTTTGCACAACTATGCCAGTGCATTATGGTATTTTTAGCTTCATTTTAACCTGCAGATATAGATCACTAATATCAGGCTGAAGATATGAATGGTCTTATTTAGTATAATAAAATCCTGTGCTCCCATAATAATCTGTAAATAATGAAATTAAAGCAGAGGCAAAGTATAATGTGTAAAGAATGTAAACTATGAGCTAAAAGTAAAGTCCAGTTCTTGTAGTGCAGGGGCGGGCAATTATTTTGGGCAGAGGGCTGCTTACTGAGTTTTGGCAAGCCATCGAGGGCTGCATGATAGGCAGCCCAGGGCAGATAAATATTTATTTTCTAATTTTTTTTAGGGGCCCCTTGGGCCAGATAGAATGGCCTGGTGGGCTGCATCCGGCCCCTGGGCCACATTTTGCCCACCCCTGTTGTAGTGGCTACTGTACTGCTGAAATTATGTGGAATGTATTCCTGCTTTTTGCTGTGTATTTTTTAAGAGTACTGTAATAACATCTACAGACCAGATCTCCAGGGCTAATTGTGGAGAGCCCGAGTGCTGCAGAAACAGTGGCTTCGAATATGTCCTGCCCTTGCTGTGTGTCAAACCAGACATGGAGAGTAAGTTCTAGCAGCTGGAAAATAGTTTAGTTTTCTATTAGTTCTTGGATCCTCATCTGAAACTTAGAACAGGTACTAGTGTTTGGATTCAGAGAAGCATTGGTTGTGGTAATGTTTTTATGCCAGTGGGTGCTTGTACTTCAGGAACTGGTCTGAGATCATAAAATTATGGGGCTGGAAAGGACCTCAGGCCCAGTGACATGCTTCACATGGATTACCAGACAGCTGTCAGAAATTGTGATCCTGGGCTGGCTAGGTTACTTAAAACTAGTAATATGATGTGTGGTTTTACTTTATATGTTAGGTATCCTAAAGTCTTCCAGGGCTCCGAGTTGTTTTTTTTTTTTAATTGGAGGACGATCGTGCCATTTGCATTCATTGGTTTTCTTTGTGTTAAAATAAAAACCTGTCAAATGCAGTCTAAAACATGTCTTTGTATTCCAAGATAGATTTGTTGAGCTATCAGCATAAACCTGGCATTTGAGAGAGGAGATCTCGTTAAACTTTTGCCAGGTCAGCACACATGGTATATGATTCTGTTAGATCCTGATTCTGAAAGCTTTTCTGTAGGGTGGATAGTCATTGAGATCACACAACTCTGTATGGTTGCAAGGGTCTTAGTATGTAAAAGAGTCATGTGGGATTAGAGCCATAATTTTGAGGGTTTGGGGGATCTTGTGTCTGGTGTTATGTGAGGCAAAATGCCTCCTGAACTAAATTTTTTTTCCTCAATCAGATTTCCTTTTTTCTGCCATGTAACTTGCTTACAAAAGGGTTTGAAGAATATCCACATTATGGGCATAATTTAAACTTTATTTGTATTTTTGTGCAATGTCAAGATGTGACAGGCAAAAATATGTTAATTTGGTTTTTTGGTAAGGATTCTGTCCATGTTTCCTAACTCTTCACAAGCAATAAATATATTTTGGATACCATCAGCTAGAACTGTTTCTCTGGAAAGAATATATACTCAGAATGGAGGAAGGTAAACATGTGGTAGCTCCCCTACCTTATCCTACTGCCAAACTGAAACAAATTTTCGTAGTGTTACTTTTTTGTGTAAGCATTGCTATAACGGCTAAGGAATGTTGAGCAATTTTAAATGGGAGGCAGTATCCCTTAGATTTACCAAATTTTCACATTCAACAACAATACTATGTACCTGCAATAGATGCCTCATTTCTCAGCTCTTATAATCCTGAGGTATTGTGCACCTGCAGCCTTCATTGAACAGAACTAGATACTAGATCATGCTCCTTGGGAAGGTTTCATTGCCTATAATTATCTTATAGGCCTTTGGCACAAATTCTTCACACTACAGGTTGGACAAAGCTATTTGTGTCTGACTTCTTTACATTCCATCTTTGGGGGGAATCTTCCCATACTGTGTAGTGAGAAATTGCTTTGTCACTGTGGAACACATTAACTCATTGCATAGGGTCTGGAGTTTTGATGTGGTTCAAGGTCAGCATTGTTTGATCCCTGTAATATTCTAAAAGTTCCAGTGACTCATGTTTTCCGACTTACTATTGGGGTTGGCCTAAATGATATGAGAGTTTGCTTCCTGCCTTATCTGAAGTGCGAACAAGAATGACTGCGGAAGAAATTTTCCTATGACAGTGGACATGATAAAGTTGCCTTAGCATAGGTTAGTCATATTATAGCTTCATCTACCAGAGTTCAGTCACTCTGTTTTTATAAATGTTGTTTTCAGCAATATGATGGTACAAAGTCTGGATGGGCTCAAAGTCTGGAATATTTTTTTTCTGTGCTCCCAACTTACATCTCTATCTCTCTTTTTTTTTTTTTTCTTTTTTTTTTTCATTCATTGAAAAAATCAAAACCAATCAAACTATAAGATGTATTTGGGGATTAAACTTAGTTATATGTATGATTTTAAACAGGAAACTGGAAGTATTTGAAGAAAAGAGGGATATAAGCTAAACATCGTGTCTGGAACACTTGTGTTCTTTAGTCTCCTCCTTGAATTTGAGAGTACCTATTCTGTTTATAGTGTACAGGTCTTACCAATACAGTCTTAAAGAAGTCCTTTCTGCTGTATATATTTGTCTATGCATGTGTGCATACATACATACTAGATCTTGTAGTGTTGCTGTTCAGGTAATGAACCATTGGCTGCTACCCTTGAACCCCATATGTGGGGAGCCAGAGGAAAAGCAAGGGCAACATTGGACCCCTGCTAAACCAGATGGGACAATTGACAACTGATGCCCATGAAAAAGCAAACTTGCTAAATGGGTACTTTGCATCAGTTTTTCACCAGTCCCATGGGACGCCCCTGCCCACTGAGGGGGGAGGCATGGGTGAGGGAGATTCCTTATCCTCCATTGAAGCTAACCTTGTGAAGGAACACCTTGACAGGCTGGATACCTTCAAGTCAGTTGGCCCTGATGGTTTACACCCCAAGGTACTCAAGGAGCTGGTAAGCATCGTAGCTCAGCCCCTGGCACGGATCTTTGAGAACTCCTGGTGCTGTGGTGAAGTGCCCGAAGATTGGAAGAAGGCCAATGTGGTGCCTATATTCAAGAAAGGGAGGAAAGTGGATCCGGCAAACTACAGGTCCATCAGCCTGACCTCTATCCTGGGGAAGGTCTTGGAAAAGATTATCAGAGAGGCAATCCTTAACAGACTAGCTGACGGCAATATCCTGAGGGATAGCGAGCATTGGTTTGTTGCGGGTAGGTCTTTCTTGGCCAATCTCATTTCCTTTTAAGACCAGGTGACCCACCACCTGGAAAAGGGGGAAGAGATTGATGTCCTGCATGTTGACTTTAAAAAAGCCTTTGATCTGGTATCCCATGATCACCTCTTGGCAAAACTGGCTAACTGTGGCCTCGACCTCACCACAATCTGCTGGCTGGGGAATTGGCTCCATGGTAGTACCCAGAGGGTGGTGGTTGATGGTACTAATCATGGTGGTGCGCTGTGACCAGTGGGGTCCCTCAAGGTTCTGTCATAGGGCCTATACTTTTTAACATCTTCATCAATGATGTAGATTTTGGTGTTGGAAGTGGGCTGGCCAAGTTCGCTGATGACTCCAAACTCTGGGGTAAAGCATCCACGCCTGAGGACAGGAGGGTGATCCAGGCAGATCTTGACAGGCTCATGAAATGGGCGGATGAGAACCTGATGGTGTTTAACACCGAAAAATGCAAGGTTCTCCACCTTGGGAGGAAAAACCTGCAGGATGCGTATAGGCTTGGCAGTGCTACACTGGTTAGTACTACAGATGAAAGGGGTTTGGGGGTCATGATTGACCACAAAATGAACATGAGCCTTCAACGTGATGCTGTGGCTAGTAAAGCGAGCAAAATGCTGGCCTGTAGCATAAGGTCATATATAGATACGATCTTTATATCTATATATGATAGATCTATATATGATAGATGCTTCTCAAGCAAATCCTGGGATGTCATTCTCCCGCTGTACTCGGCCTTGGTGAGGCTGCAGCTGGAGTACTGCATCCAGTTTTGGACTCCACAGGTCAAACAGGATGTGGAGAAGCTTGAGAGAGTTCGGAGGAGAGCCATGCGCCTGATCAGAGGTCAGGAAAACGGACCTTATGATAAGAGGCTGAGAGCTATGGGACTCTTTAGCCTGGAAAAGCGCAGGCTCAGGGGCAATCTGGTGGCCATCTATAAGTTTATCAGGGGTGTTCACCAGTATCTGGGGGAATGTCTGTTCACCAGAGCGCCCCAAGGGATGACAAGATCAAGCAGTCACAAACTCCTCCATGACTGTTTCATGCTGGACATAAGGTAGAACTTCTTTACTGTCCGAACCCCCAAGGTTTGGAATAGACTGCTGCTGCACCCACTTTGAACGCCTTCAAGAGACATTTGGATGTTTATCTTGCTGGGATCCTATGATCCCTGATGACTTCCTGCCCCTGGGGTAGGGGGCTGGACTTGATCCTTCGGGGTCCCTTCCAGCCCAAATGTCTATGAAATCTATATATCTGATGGTGGCCTGTAAGCCCAGACATTGTAAAAAGGGTCTGTGTGCATGTGATCTCACAATTTTTGTCTTAAGTAGCATAATGCATGATAAAGATCATAAGGCCAACTTCAGTGTAAATCAGCAGGAGGGTCTCTCAGTCTGGATGATTGTATTTACTGGAATCCAAGTTGAATCTTCCCTCCTTGCCCATTCAACATAAGAGAAAAACCTTCTGTTGTATATGAGTACCAGCCTGGGACAGGTGACTTCTATTGGTCTGGGACTGGGGCTGGAGATGCAGCTGCTGCTGCCACTGCTGGAATCAGCAGCAGCACTTTGGAAAGGCAGCTGTAGCTTGGCCCAGTTTCATCTAATGTTAAAGCCTCTTGTCTTTTGAAGCAGGGCTTCACTGACCCCAGATAGGGCTACTAGCTTTAGAGAGGCTGTTCAAGTGAACTCTATTTATACGACTGGAACTCTGCCTAATACAGCTGTTTCTACAGCAGTTATTTAAACCTTATCTTTTAGGATATAAAAGTAGGCCAGTGTAGATGAGTGAAGCTACATAAGAAATAATTAGCTAGTGAACTGCAGCTCTATACGTCCAACCATTGTCCTTTATAGGAATGAGAACCTGTAATACATTACAAACTACAGCACTCTGCCTGTATGTGTGCAGACTTTCTTTCCATGAGGTGTGTAGCGCAGATAAAGCTATAGATATCAGGTTCATTTGGCAATCAGAACATTGCCTGATGTACAATGGAGAGTTGATCCTCCTAGCCTAGTGATTTTTTTTTTTTATTTTTATTTTTTTTTTCAACCAGCATGCTGTGAGATCTTTTTAAGGGTGCCTTGCAAGGCTGCTTAATAGCACTGGTAGGTGTGCAAACATGTACCTGCATAATTCGCAAGATAAACCCAGAGATTTCAAATACGAATCCATAGTTTAAAAACATTTTGAAATGTTATAGTCTTTTGCAACAGAATTGCTCTGTTGATTTTCATTTCTGTAGTCAAAATGAGTGAAAGCTAGGAGTTGGCATTTTTTGAGGGGTGCCTTGAGTCTCAGAAAGTTGGGAATCACTGTCTTAGCCTATCTCACAAGCTGTCAGTGCTATGCTATCAGCAGCTGTGAAACTGACTTTGTACTGTCGATTTCAAGGCTGCTATTAGAAGGATAAAGCATGCTGTGTAACAAAGTAATGAGCTTTAATACCATGTGAGCAGCCAAGAGCAGGCTGTTCCCATACAGATTAGCTGGCACAATTAATTTGGCTTAAGTGATGCCTTTACTAAAGTAATCAATAGGATTTGGCAAATGGCTAGTCAATTTGTCTTTCTTAATGGCTGCCTGTGTTACCTGCATACTTCTTAGGTGGCTTAATATTGTATTTGTACACTTCCCTTCTCCCATTATAAAGGCTATAATTCTAGAATATGTAGAGATCTTCAGTGTGCAAAATTCTTTTCTATCAGTTTATCCTTAGAAGCTGATGTTGGCTGAAGTAGCATTTACTTAGTGTTAATAATGAATGAACCAAGGTTTGCTGAAAAATGTTGGGCTGATGGCTCTAGACCAGTATTTCTCAACCAGGGTGCTGCCCAGTCCTTTGAAGGGTGCCATGAAGCGTGAGAAGATAAGCAGATAAATGCAGCCTTAAGTTTGTCCTTGCCTGGCTGATTCTTCACCCAGCACTCCCAGGCCCCTCTGCAAGTAAGTAAGCACTGTAATAATATACATTATTTTTTAAAAATTGGGTGCCACTCAGTTCACAGAAGTTCTGGAAGGGTGCCTCATCCAGTGAGTGATGCCTCGAGTCTAAAAAGATTGAGAACCACTGCTCAAGGCAGTAGAATCCTGTATTAACTTATAGTGCTAGTACAGTACATGCTGATTATATTAGTAGTGCTGTTGTTCTCATGCTATCCTGCCAGTGTGGTTCAAACTGGCTTCCCCACCAGTACTTGCATTCCCTATGTCATATTGATTTATCTTTCCAAGGAGGAATCTGTGGATGACTCACTCTGACTATACTTCTCCAAGGATCTTCCCTATTACCCTTTCATCCTTCTCCTCTCCCTCTCTCCTCCCCTACCACTTAACTCCCCAGAAGGCCGATTTTCTGTTTCCATGGCTTTCCTAGGCCAGGTAGCTCTGCATGTGAACCTGGATAGCTTGCATGAGGAGGACTGATGTTATGATCTTGGAACTGTTCTGGAAGAGATCATAGGAAAGCAGAGCTGAAATAGACCTCACAAGGTCATTTAGTCTAGCCCTTGCTCAAGGTAAGATCAATCCTGACCCTACCATTCCAGTCAAGTATCTGTAGAACCTGCTCTTGAAAACTTCTAAGGATGAAAAGTCCACATTTTCTCTAGGTAGCCTGTTCCAGTTCTTGACTACCTTCATAGTCAGAAACTTCCTCCTAATTTTTAACCTAAATTTCTCCCACTGAAGCTTGAGGCCATTGCTCCTAGTCGTGTCTTCTGTGGCTATGGAGAGAAGTCCATCTCCATCCTCTCTGTACTCTCATCAGGTTTTTGAAGACCATCGTTAAATCTCCACTGTCTTCTCTTCTTTAGACTAAATAACCCTAGCCTTTTCAGCCTTTCCTCAAGGTTTGCTTACCAGACCCCTAATCATTTTTTGCTTTCCATTGGATTATTTCCAAACTACACATCCTTCTTAAGGCCACAGACTGGACACAGTACTCGAGGTGAGGCCTCAGTAGTCCTGAATAGAGCATAAGAATTGCATCCCTGTTGATATGACCTAATAAGCTGTTGGTTTTGTGTTTGTTTTTGTTTTTTTGTTGTAGCAAGAGCATGCTGTTGCCTCATTCAGCTTAAGGTTGAAAACCACTGCAGCAGACCATTTTTCATTTGTGGACCCCTAAAAATTTCAAATGGAGGCGTGGACCCCGTCCATTGTAACTGTGGGTATTCACATACTTTTGATTATAGTCATCTTTCGCAGACCACTTAGACATAGTCTGCAGAGCCCCAGGGGTCCATGGACCACAGTTTGAAAACCACTGGTCTACTGTAACCACTCCAGGTCCTTCTCTGCAGCTCACCCAGGCATTCCTCAGCCTGGATTTGTGCATGTAGTTATTTTGCCGCAAGTGCAGGACTTTGCACTTGTCCTTGTCAAATGTCATCTGATTAATTGCAAACCATTTTCCCAATCTGCCCAGGTCGTTCAGGATCCTAGCCCTATCTTCAAGCATCTGTAACTACACCTGACTTGGTGTCATCTGCAAATTTGCTAAGCATTCACTTGATCCCATTATCCAGATCATTGATGAAGATGATAAACAGTACCAGACTTGGGACAGACCCCTGGAGAACCCCATTTCATACTTCCTCTCAACTACACATTGAGTCATTGATGACTGCTTGTTGAATATAATGATCCAACCAGTTATGTATTCATCTTACAGTACTTTTCTCTAGTCTATATTTCCTTAGCTTGTGAGTGAGACTGTTGTGAGATAGTGTAAGAGTGGTGTAGTAGCTGTGATGGTCCAGAAACTGTGAGGGGCAAGGGTTTCTTAGGATAATATTTTTTATTGGACCAGCTATGTAATTGAAGTAAAGTTAGACAAGCTTTCAAAAGGAAGACATTCTTCATCAGGTCCCTAATTATAGGAAGGTAGGCAAGTTAAGCACAGCATAGGGGAGGGGCTGAGAGAAATTTTCAGGTGTAGCAGACATGCAGTTAGCATCCATTGAGCCTAACAAGAAGCCACAATTTCCTTGCTTTCTGAAATCTGCAGAAGAGCTAGCTGAAATGAACACTTTTGGATTTCTGGCAAACAAACGTCATTTTATTGTTAATATTTATAATGAGTAGCAATTAATATTCTTGGGGGGGGGTGGTATCTTGATTATATGCGAGCATTTGAGATGGAAAAAGCATGGGTGCTGACTAGTAATAAATAACTCCTGTAATTATGTGAACTTTTTTTTGTGAATACAGAAAGAATCCAGGAGTTACATTTTTGTCTCATCCATTCCTGATGCTTCAGCTTGAGCACTGCTTTATGTCTTTCTCTGCTGTCATGTCAGCATAGCAACCAAATAAACAAACAGGACTAGAAGTCAAGGAGGAGTCAGTGGAAAATGATTTAACCAAGACTTTTTTTCCACCCATGTTTCTCAAGGTTGCAGTAGGGAACTTGGGGCTTCTTAGTATTTCTATGAAAAATTGGTATGGTAGCAGGCTGTTAAATCACCCCTTAAACTGGCTATGCAGTGGGATGCTGAACCATGTGAGAGCTTATGTTTCCAGACCTGCCGGGACCTCAAGAGTCCTCCTATGCAGAGATCAGAGTATTGTGGTATTGATGTTGCTTCTCTGTATTCCTACAAGCCTTGTACCTAACTCATAGTCTCCTAAATGACACAAACCTTTGCTGCTTCTGTTTGCAAACAGACGACTTCAGCAGTCCTGCATGCAGTCAGGTTTTGGAAGGCAAGCAGGTAGTAGGCCCTAATTCAAAAAGTACCATATTTACTCACATAGTAAGACCCTGATTATAAGATGCCCCCCCAAATAATTAGATTTTGTATATGGAAAATGTATAACTTTGTTACAATTTCCAGGTATTGAATCTAATTATTGGAGGTTTGCCTTGAATTTGTCCCCTTATCACTGCTACAGCAAGGGGAAAAAAGATCTGGGTTATCAGGTAGCTCTTTGCTTCCTCACAACTTTTTCCCCTGGTAGCCCCTTTCCCCACCCCTTACTGTCAGACCGTGGTCTCCATGAGCATGGTATAATTTGATACAGTACCCATAGATTTAGTCCAGCCAGAATTAATTAATACATGTTCTCTTCTTTTAGAACTGCTGCACGTTTTTGCACAGATGTTTCATAAATGCAATTTTGAACAGTACCGTGGCACCTACTTATCTAGTATAAACTATGCATGGAATGAGTTAAAAGCCAAAAGGCTCATGATTTACCACAATTCACTGGGCTGTGCCACAGCAGTCAACAGCATTTCAAGCCATGGTGAGCTACAGCTTTGCATACAGTTCATCCAGAGTCCCTCTGTCACTCTCTCTCTGCCTGGTGCATATGTTTGATGTGCACCTCCATGGGGGACCCCACAGCTCAGCATTACTAGGTATGTTTGTCTACTCCAGATTACTCCCCCCCACTGGGTGTTCTTGTCACAAGTCCTGGGATGTTCCAAAAACCTGTGCAGATGAGGTGCAGGGCACTCTGCTTCACCTTGCAGAGGGCTGGCGCCACACTTAGGTGCCAGGCTGAGAGAGGTTGCAACAGAGGTTCTGGGTAAACTGTATGCAATGTCGTGGCTCACCATGGCTTGAAAAAGCGTCGACTGTGAGGGGGATTGCACTTAATGGGCACTGGCACATGTCTTATTCAGATGAGTGGTACTAACCTATTCTTGTGGTAGGTTCATATCAGCATTTTTGGCACCACGGAGGGTGTTGGAGTTTGTTGTGGCCTTTCTCAGTGCCAGCTTGGTATTGCAGTACCTCTAGGCTTGATGCTTGTTCAACTGCCTTTTCTGAGGAGACTGGTTCAGATGATGGGTAAAAAAGGATAATATGCTGTGAGTGCTTGGGGTGTCTCCCTTTAAGACCGTGCATATTTAGAACTCCTTAATATAAAGTGTTACACAGGCAGTCCGAGTGGAATAAGCACCAAGTCTCAGTTGCTACTGGGAACCAAAGTATTACTTTTGCTTAGAAAACAGCCAGTTGTTGTACATGTGGTTTGTTGAAACCAGCCAATTGTTATAAAAGTGTTGCAAAACTTGATACATATTGGCTTAAACAAACCTCCGCTATAGCATACTTAGATGAGTGGAACTACACCATGCATTAATTTTGTTTCATAGGAATAGTAGAGGGAATTGATAAATCAAATGAGATTCTTTCCACAGCTCACACTTGACAAAGGGCTTGAATTTTCTCTTGGTCTTATGACTGTCACATTTGTTTCAATCAGTAGAAGTCCATGAAATAATCTGTGTTCCACTGCTTGCTTGGGGCAGGCAGCAACTCCTGAATAAATTAAAAGAGGCAATATACAAGGCGGTAGGATTATGTTGCCGTGTGATTGATGACTCACTCCACTATGGAGAGAATGGCTTCCATTGTGTAACCCATTTTTCATTACAGAACATGAATTCACTATGTGATTGTTTTTACTGTGTGACAGTACAAAATAAACTTGCTTTGATAATCCCAGAAATCCTGCCCTCTACAATGTTAGCATTGTGTAATAGCCTCATTAGTTTTATGGACAGTAACATTTGAACAGTTGCCTATAAGGAAAGTACAGCCTGAACATAAAGTTGCTACATCCTAAATTCATTGGAAGTGACTGTTAGTGCCGTGTTGACCAAGCAGTATGATTAGACCCTCAAATGAGTTTCTCTTCCATTAGTAAAGCATATGTCTGACACAAGACTTGGGGGGTACCCTTAGCCGATGACCTGTGTAATAATGTTGACATGAAGCATGAAAGACTTTAATATGCCGTTTCTTTGTGTTAAAAACAAGGAGATGCCACATATAAGTGTGGAAATGATTCCTTTGCACTGCTGTGTTTGAAGTTGTAGCTCTAATATGGAGTACGTTAAAGCCAATTGTCCAGCTTCAGTGTAGGGAGCTGTGGATTTTACACAGACTATTCATTCAGATTTTAAGGAGGCAACCATGCTGGGACATAAGGGATTGGAATTCAGAGGAAGGGGAAATGCAACAAAATCCATAGTTAAAGTATCAAAGATTCTAGTTCCCTTTGAAATAAGTTAGCACTGGGTGGACATGACTGAGATGATAGATTGCAAAAGTTTGAATAAGTTGAATAAGTGTGAGGTTTTAGAATAGGATTCCTGAAACTATGATTCCAAGTCACAGGGTCAACTTCTTTCTTCTTTTGTCTCCCCCCCCCCCCCCCCCAAAAAAAAAAAAAAAACAAACAAAAAAACCCAGAATGTCACATCTTGCTGCTTTTCATGCTTTTTTTTCAGGTGAAATCTGAAATTCTTCCTCCTTTGCACAGGCCTCCGAGACTCTGGCATATATTTTTTGAAAAAGTAAAGATTTTTTGTTTCCTGGTATTTACATTTTCTCTTTCAGATTTTGTGCAGAGTAACTGTTATTACTCAATAGACCATCTCTGAAGTGTACTGCATTATTTATTTATTTGTATTGTAGTACAGGCAGCTCTCAGACTTACGACACAATTGGTTCCTGAAAACCGTATCTTAAGTTGAAACTTTGCAACTTGGAATCAATTTTCCCTTAGGAAACAGTGTTATAAATGGGGGAATGGTTCCTGAACCAAGGCCTGATACCCTATTTTCACCCAAAATAACCCAGAATTTTGTAAAGTACTCAATCAATTATATAAAATAAATAAGTGTAGCTATATTACTTGTCTATATGTATGTATTTATATTGTAAATATACCACATCTGGGGGTCACACATCCCCCCCTCCCTTCCCCCTATGCCCTCCTGGACAAGTGGTGGAAGCTGCTGGACAGGCCGTAGCTTCTCCTGCGGCCGCCCAGCTCAGCCCCGGCACTACCTGCCTCACCTCAACGCGAGCAGCTGGGGGATCAGCCAGATGAGCTGTGGCTTCTCCTGTGGCCGCCCGGAGCAGCCCCGGAGCTGCCTGCCTTGTCCCGGTGGGGGCAGCCAGGGGAGCAGCCGGGCAAGCTGCAGCTTCTCCCGCGGTCGTCCAGCACAGCCCTGGCACTGCCTGCCTCGCCCCAGCTGGGCCAGCCGGTGGAGGAAGCAGATGAGCTGCAGCTTCTCCTGTAGTCGTCCGGCACAGCCCTGGCACTGTCTGCTTTGCCCCAGCAGGGCCAGCCGGGGGAGCAGCTGGACAAGCTGCGGCTTCTCCTGGCACCCATAGCCCTCTCTCCTAGAGCCCAGGTGCAGCCTCAGCTGGGCAGCATTTCTCCTCCCCCCCC